TTTGTAGAGAAACGGGGAGTCATATGGGGGAAACTTTATTATAGCTCCCCTTTCACTTGGTTTGCTTGCTGAAGACATTGTTCTTATTTGATTACTAGATTATGGATAAACATATATGACAGGGGTTTTTTATAATTATTTTTCTCCCACTCTTCCTTGAAGGAATTTGGGGCCATATGGCCATATGTGTGTATTCTCTCTCCCCCGTTTTATCCTTCCAACAGCTCTGAGAATGACTAGCATCATTAGGGATTTGAACCAGGAGCCTCCCCAATTTGTCTATGGTTGGCTGCTGTATGAAACAGGATGCTAGACTAGATAGTCCACTACTCTGATTCAGCAAGGATCTACATATGTTCTTACTACGATGCTATAGTTGCAACCACAGTGGCCTACTACTACTTTTTTTTTTTGCTAAAAAGAGTTCCAGACATTTAGTTGTGGCCCTCCAACTGTACAACATGAGAGCACTGCACAGAATCCTTCTGATGGGCATGGTTGCCATTTTGTGTAAATGGGGTGTGCATGCACTGGTATGCATGAATGTATTCCCTCATAACTTTGAGGTGTTAATGTGTACAAAAGATGTACATGTATGGAAAATACATGTATTGCCTCGTTCATGCATAATGGTAGTCACGGGTACTGAGAGAATCAGATGTAGCTTTTAGTGCCAGGGAATCTGGTTTGAACACCCAACATCAACCATGTGGAAGACATACCAAATGAGATGTTGGACAAGACATTACCAGATCTCCAGTTCATTTTAATGATGAAAGAGCCACAAATCAGCAGATTCAGACTGGGGCTTGATATGGTGGAGGGGGGTAGTGCTTCCTTTTCCCCAAACTTCAACAGGCCCTGGATTATCGATTTGCCCACTGAAGGGGGAAAGATCCCTCCTTTTGGCCACTACCCTGGTCCAAATTGGGAATCCCTTGTGGCTACGGTCTTAAAAGGAAAACACTTCCTCTGTGTACCTAGGGTTGCCACCTCTGAGTTAGCAAATTTCTAGAGATTTGTGGGTGTAGCCTGGGGAAGGCAGGGTTTGGCATGGAGAGCGACCTCACAGGTACAATTCCATCAAGTTAGGCTTGCCAAGTCCCCCCGGGAGGCGGGGAAACCCCCACCCCAGAGGCCCATTCCGTGCCGCCAGCGGATTGGACCCCGGGGGGAACCCCACCCCCAAAGTACGCGACGTGCACGTCACCTGGAAGTGAAGTGACCATGCCGGGCACGTTGGGGGCAGGGCCACGGTCATCCGAGGGAAAACTCTATGGTTTTCCCTCAGATGGTTGTGGCCCTGCCCCCAGCGTGCCCGGTGTGGTCGCGTCACTTCCAGGTGATATGGATGCTGCGCACACGCTCAAAGCATGCGCTCCGGGAGTCCACTGCTCCAGATGAAGGTACGACTTGGCAACCCTACATCGAGTCCACCATCCAAAGCAGCCGTTTTCTCCAGGGGAATGATCTCTGTCATCTGGAGATAAGTTATAATGTTAGGAAATCTCCAGGCCCCACCTGGATGTTGACAACCCTGTCTATACTTTGGGGTGTGTGGAAGTGGAAGATCTACATGCAACACCAAGGGTTTCATGACTGTAACATTGCATTTCCCCCCCCCCCCTTTAACAATTGTGCAGGGAGTCAGAGGTTCTGGTTGGAATTAATATATAGGGCCTTTCCCAGCATGACGGAGTGAGCTCCTGTCTCTAGTTCCAGCTCCTGCCAACCTAGCAGTTCGAAAGCAAGAAATTGCAAGTAGATAAATAGGTACCACTTCAGTGGGAAGGTAACAGCGTCCCGTGTGCCTTGGTGTTTAGTCATGCCGGCCACATGACCACGGAAATGTCTTCGGACAGCGCTGGCTCTTCGGCTTTGAAACGGAGATGAGCACCGCAACCCTAGAGTCGGATGCGACTGGCTTTCGAGCAAGGGAACCTTTACCTTTACCACACCATAAACATATAGGTCTGGAAATGCAACCAGAGCCCTACAAGGAATGGCTGATCTCCTGCCCCCAAAGTGCTTTCTCAAACCACAGCTTTGGTTTCCATATATGTAGCTTCTTCTGTGTCATGGCAGAAACTGCTATGGCAATAGCCTGAGCAAGGCCACTCTGGCTTGCTATTCATATAACCATTATGATAAGTACATCAGTGTTACAACCAATTCAAAAATAAGGCCATGTTTCTGTGTACTGCATAAGACCTCTAAAAAGTGTGCGATGGGGTTTCTACAGCACATCTATGACACAGGTGCTGCACATGAAGCCAAAGCTGAAGACCCTCCATGCTGGGTTGCATGCTGCATCCACAAGGGAGGTAGGGTTGCCAACTGCCTGGAGAGAGAAAAAGTTCTGTCCCTTTTAACAGCAATGCCTGTTATTTACCAGGTGATGTTATTTCTGTGCAGCTGCCCCTTTCCACACATTAAACATTAATCCACTGCTAAAAAGATAGGTGTGAAATCAGCTGGTGACTGGAAGAATGAAGAAGCCAGTTTCTATGCAAGGTTTCTGTTCATGGTTTTGGCAATATGCTAGGAAACTGGTTTTGTGTGGGAGTGGGGTTGTAATTTCTTTTGTTGTGTCAAGTCTCTGCTGCTTCAACTGAAAGAGCTATTACTAGCTTAGGAATTGTTTTTGTGGCACAGTGATTGGGACAGCTTTTTTTGGCCTGAGGTGCACAACAGAAGCCCAACTGCAGTTTCCTATTTGACTGTTTATGACTTTTTGGAAGAATCCCAACTATTTGTCCTTTAAAGAGCCAAACTAGATGTGATCAGGGAGGTCTGTGATTAAAATCTCCTGTGGCCTTAATTTTGGATCAAAATAGCTGTGAGGAAGAGGAAACAGCAAAGGAAGGTGACATTTAACCCTTTCTCCTTTGGCATTTCACCAGTGGCTCTTTGCCCTGCAAGGGAAAATACACACTTCTTGTTTCCCAACCTACCTCTGGGGTCTTTAACTGGGGATGCTAAAGAGAGATTGAGCCGGAGATCTCGGT